GCGCAGATGTGCGCACACAGACATTCATCATTTACACACACTCCAAGTCCAAACTTGCATGCGCAGGTGTGCGTGCGCAGAGATTCATCATATAGACACACTCCAAGTCCACACGTGCATGCGCAGCACAGAGACATTCATCATAGATACACACACTCCAACTCGACGCGTACGTGCGCAGGCATGCGCAGATGTGCGCACACAGACATTCATCATAGATACACACGCTCCAACTCGACACGTACGTGCGCAGGCATGCGCAGGTGTATATGTGTGTATATATGTGATCTGTACACACGCTCGATACTGGACTTGGAGTGTGTATATATGATGAATGTGTGCGTGCGCACACTTGCGAATGCACGTTTGAACTTGGAGTGTCTGTAAATGATGAATGTCTACGTGCACACACCTGCATCGACTTGGAGTGTGTGCATATGATGAATGTCTGCGTGCGCACACCTGCGCATGCACGTTTGAAATTGGAGTGTGCACGTGTCGACTTGGTGTGTGTGTATATGATGATCGTCTGTGTGCGCACCTTTGCGCATGCACGTGTCGACTTGAAGTGTGTGTACATGATGAATGTCTGTGTGCGCACCCCTGCGCATGCACATGTCGACTTGGTGCGTATATAATGAGAGTGTCTCTGCGCACCCGTACGCATGCACGTGTTGACTTGGAGTGTGTGCATATGATGAATGTCTGTGTGCGCACCTCTACGCATGCACGCGTCGACTTAAAGTGTGTATATATGATGAACGTCTGTATGCGCACCTCTACACATGCACGTGTCGACTTCGTGTGTGTGTATATAATGAACGTGTGTATGCGCACTCCTGCGCATGCACGTTGGCTGGTGTGTGCGATGAACGCATTTTCTATCTACTCGCCTGTGCACGCTTGTAGTTTCTGTGTACAATGAATGTCTCTATGAGCACGCCTGCGCAAGCCTATAGTTGGTTGGCGTGTGCAATGAAAACCCTCTCTGATGGGGCGGGGATTGATCCCTCCTCCCCTTGAGCCTGTTTGACTCTGCGTGCTGATGGGACTGTATTTGTATGAGTATCACGGACACACAGACGAGTGTTACGGTTAATGACAGTTTCCCCCCCCCAAACCCTCTCTCAGATGGTGGAAGAAGGCAAACTGCGAAGCGCTGAGTCTTCGAAGAAATATCCGTTATGCACATCTATGCATGCAGAACCAAATAGCGATGGCCAAGGGTGAGAGACAAACCTAACTGAAGACCTCGATATAAACGCTGCCGAATACAGAGAAGGCCCCAAGCGAGACGAAAGCATAAGCTCAAAGGAGCCAAACTCCCAGGACGGCAAGTCCACAACCTTTTTGGTACAGAGGGACGAACGATAGGCGGAGCACGATACAGCTACATTTTTTTTCTCGAGATCTAGAGGCGCAGCGATGGGAGGTGGCAAGGCACAAAGTCAGCCTAAGTTCGAAGGGTGCAGGCCCAGGACCCAATGGCATAGCGGCGTAAGTTCGAAGGCAATGGCACAGCGGCCTAAGTTCGAAGGCTGCAAGCCCAGAACCCAATGGCACAGAGGGATGAATGCTCGAGAGTGTAATACGACTCTACCTTTTCAGGGGAGCGGGGAAGGGGAACGGGGGGAATACTGGAGAAGAGGTGTAATGAATGAATGAACGAGGTCCCGGGATGACCCTATAGCCCTGTGGCGTAGTATCCATGGTCATACAATTTACAGATAGAAATATACCATATTCATCATCCCTTTCTTAATACTCCAGCGCACATGTTGTCCTTACTCGATGGGCGATCGAGGCCAAGACGGCCGGGTGGGTGACTTGCCGGCCTGACGCAGAGGACCACACCGACCTGACGCCTGACGAGTTCCGCGACAACATGGCCATCCGATACGCCTACGAGCCTCCCAAGATACCCACCCACTGCGACGGCTGCGGGGCTCCGTACTCGCTCGACCACGCCCTCAACTGTGGAGTGGGTGGGTTGGTGATTCGGCGGCACAACGAGGTGGTGGACGTGCTGTGCGACCTTTCTGCCAAGGCTTGGGGCGAGTCGGCGGTCAGGAAGGAGGTGGTGATTGTGGAGCCCGAGGAGGGGGAGAAGGGGGTGCGGACGGACATGGTGGTGAGGGGGGTGTGGGAGCGGCAGAAGGACGTGTCGTTTGACCTCTGCGTGACAAACGCTGACGCGTCGTCCTACCGCAACCAATCGACCGCCTCCATCCTCAAGAACAAGACCAAGGCCAAGAAGGCCCACCACAGCCGTGTGTGCGAGGACAAGTCCATCCACTTCACCCCCTTGTGCGTGACGGTGGACGGTGTGTGGGGCAGAGAGGCCAATGGTTTTTTCAGCCGCCTGGTTGAGAAGCTGCGCACCAAGGCTGCGTGGGCAGACAAGTCGTATAGCCAGGTGATGGGGTGGGTTCGTGCTCATCTGTCTGTTGCGTTGGCGCGTAGTGCGAGTATGTGTGTGCGTGGTGGGCGGCGCCGCTGGAAGATACGCCAGGCGGGCGCTGAGGATGGTGCTGGCATGTTTGTCGCGTGATTTGATTGATGGTTGGTCGATTGACGCAGTTCATCTCATGAGAGACCGACAGACTCTGCCTGCCGTTGCGCTATGAGTCAATGTATTTCCACATGTCCTTACTCGATGCAAACACTTCCTTAGGACTGCACCGGGACCATTTCTCGGATTTGCTGAGCCCGCAATTGTATGGGAAGCGAGGATTCGGGTCGTCTGGAGGTCGAATTTACGACCGATCAAAGACTCAAAAATACAACCGGGCCTGACGTTTTGGCTGCGTGCTTGTGATCTTGCGTCTCGTGGATCGCGCCTTGCCTTCTCAGATTGCTTTTTCGGCCCAGCGCTGCTGTACAACACTGCCAAGGGCCTGGCTGTCGTATCCCTCACACCTGAATCGCCCATCTGCCTTCCTGGTATGCATGCGTGAGGAACACTGAAAGGGAACGAGGACACGGAAATGGACGCATATGTGTGTGTTCGTGTGTGGGTCTGTGCGTCGTCGATGTGCTGTTGTCGTGGTGTGATGTGGTAGGTTGTTTTTCGCACTCTTTTGTCCCGCCGCTGTTCCGTTTGGGTGCACTGCACAACACTATCTGGTTCGCAAGCGTACATACTGACTGGATGGCTGGCATGTCAGCGACCATTGTGTTGGTGGTGTTCTGTTGGTGTGGTGACTATGGCAGGTCGTCTTTTCGCACCCTCTGTCGTGTCCCTTTTCGTTCGAGTGCACCTTTGCCATCACTATCTGGTGCGTATCAAGGCAGACGGAAGAGGCAGACAGACACACCAACCACACACCACACTGACTGTGTGGCTGCCTGGCTGTGCATGCAATGTCCTCAGGCGTGTTGTTTGCTTTTGCCGGTCGTCTGCGAGTTTGGCAGCGGCAGTTCCCTGCCTTGTCAACGCTCACAGCGCCCATTGGTTGAGCTCGCTTCATGACCGGCACTGCCTGAGGACTTTCACGA